ATATAATTTAAAATTTCGGTATGTTTGGTGTTTATGATTTACGAGTTTTGTTATTAGCATTTACTGAATTAATAAAGTTAAACGTTTTAAACTTATATTGGCGTGTCCAATTTTCCTCCACCGCTTTGACTTATAAACTCGTGATAGAAATGAATAAAATCATTTTGGATTGAAGTTTCAATCTCAACAATTACAAAACTGTCATTCATAAAATCCCCATACCGTTGGTATACACTATTATTAACATGCACCAACTGAACTTAATGGTAGCCAAACAAGTTGGTACCAACTATATTTGGTATGGTAGTAGTAGAAATTTTTGTGTACCAACTATAATTGATACGGTACACGGTTTAGTAAAAAAATAAATTGGTACCTACAAATTCCACCCTTACTCTTAATCAATAGTTTTTTGGATATCATTATTTTCTTCCCAAGAACTTAGGCACGACCAAGATCTTAAGCATATTTCAAGATCTTAAGCACTTTAATTTTTTACATCTTATTTCAAACATCACAACACTTAGGTGATGTTTGTTTTTTCTGAGGCAAAATGTCTGCAGTCTGCGGACCACATCTGTAGACCTCTGCAGCAGAAGAGGTGGACCAAACGTCTGCAGTCTGAAAAAAGAAGACTGTTTGTTTTTTTAACATCTGCAGACTACTAAAATAAACTAAAATCTAAATAAACTGATTTTTTTAAACCACAAAGTGATTTTTTAATATATTTATGACTTTGTTATAAATAATTAACAAATCTGAATCAACTTTTATGTATTATTGTATAAAAGGTGAAAATAAAAATGATACAAATTAACGTATATATTTGATAAAAACCAACAATTTTGATCGCAAAGTTATGTCTAATCATTGTAATTATGAATCAAAGTATTTGTTATATAAATGAATGTAAATAAACTTCGATTTTTTCAATTAAATCAATTCAAAACGTGCCATAAATATTTTTTCTAAGACATTGATGATGCTTTATTAAATAATGTTTTATAAAATTTGGCACAAAAAATATAAGAATATATTATTTTTTTCATATTTATACTTCAACGACCATTATTATAATAAACTTTTATTTATAAATTTATCAAAAAAATATCATGTTTGTGTCGTCAAACTTTTTTTTAAGTATTGTAACATTTTTTTTTTCAAATTGTTTATCACTAATAAATTTGGAATAAATATAAATTCAAAAAAATTAAAAATAATAATAATGTATATGTGTTTTTTTAGGCTAGAAGATGTCTGGAGATGTTAGAAGACCCTGGTCCACATCTGCGCCAAGAAGAGAGCGCGCAGACATTTTTAGGTCTGCAGTCTTCAAAAAAAAAACAGTCTGCGAATGCTAATGTCTGCGCGTGGTCTGCCCCGCGCACACAGAAGAGGTCAGGAAGATCTGCAGACAAAAAACAAACACCACCTTACTAATTTGGGCACGAAATTAGTTTGATAATGTTTTACCAAAACACCATGTAAACTCTTGTATTCGCCATGAATTGCAATGCATTACTGAAAGCGTATATGTACAAGAGTGTAGTGGGTCGAATACATAAGGGACCAATACATACAAGACTAACTAATAATGGGCTCAATACAATATATACATAATAAACACATATAGTCCGCTAACATAATACTGATGGGGAAAATGTCAATCACTTATTCTTTTCTTATTCAATGGTGTTGTCTCTTTTGGAGAAAACGATGTATTGGTGGGGTTTAAATTGTCTCATGATTTTCTCCAATGACAACTGGCTTGTTTGGTTTGGGAGTTTGCATCTTAACAAGATTGCTAAGGATTTTCTAGAGGCGGTTTTTCTTATTATGTTGTGACATATTTGGAATTTTAGGAACAAAGTGTTTTTTGAAAAGGTTCCTCGTAAAAAAAAAGCTAGTTTTTGATAGTATCATTACGCTTTGTAGGCTTCTTCTTGGTGTCATAGTAGATGGAAATGTTCGTTTATTTGGGTTGGTTGGTTTTGAAACTCATCTCTTGTTAGTCATGTAATTTGTTTTTTGGATTTTTCTAACGTTTTGCTAGTTTTTGGTTAACAAAATCTCCGTCCTTCTAAAAAAAGTCAATTTGCAAAATTATAAAAGAGTTTTTTTGTTAACGCTACTTGGAGTAGCTTTTAGATTTGGAGCTTTTTGTTATAGCTGAAAGCTCCTACTAACGAAAAAAAATCTTTTTCTAGATTTTTCTTAAAAGTTAAAAACTAGAAGCTCCAAAAAAACTACATGCGGAAGACGCCTAGATTGAAAGATGGATCATTTATGGATTTGTTAACGAAGGAAAAAATGTGTTTAAGACAGATAACATTTATAGGTTTTGAAAGATAATATAATAAACATTAAACATATATTAGGAAAAGCATTTGATGAAGCATTATAGTTATATAAACATTAAATTGCAATGTCTGGTGATGTGAAAGTAAAAAACCTTTCATTTAGTTTGTTCATTTTCGGGTTAAATTTAGATCATATTACAAGTTTTAAAAACATATAATACAAGATATAAAATAAATATTTATTTGGAAATAACAATTTTGCCTCCCTCATAGCAGATTTTAGTATTTATATTTTTTTGTCCTTAAAGAAATTTTGATGTAACAATTTTCATCCATCATAATTTTAAAGTTAAATTATTTGTATTTTATACGTTGTGGTTTTGGTCCCTTATTATATTTTAAAGTTACGTGTTTGGTCTCGTACATAATTTCTTTTTATAATTATCGTTTTTTTAATATTACTTTTTGTTATTATACCAAACAACTGAACAAGATACATTTCGATTATGTTTTTTCCCGCCTTACAAATATATAATTGTATGAATCGAAACTTTATTTTTATATTTTTGTATTCTATTTTGCAAAGAAATTTCCTGTGGCAATGCACGGAGTAACTAAATACTAGTTTCTCTTTATTATGTTGCATGTTGTCCTCAAGATGAGCTTATAACGATATTAAGCATCTTTTTTTGTTACATAACATTTTGACATCAACATGATTTTAAGCATCTTTTTTTGTTACACTTGTTTTTCACATCAACATGATTTTGTTGTCAATAACATTTTGAGCTTATAACGATATTAAGCATCTTTTTTTGTTACACTTATTTTTCCAGATACAACTTTTTTATATAAGAAAATTAAACCATAAAGACCGTTCGGTTAAATGAAATATAATGATGAAGTAGTCACAGATAGATTAGCCAAATAACCAAAATAATGGAAAAACATTTATATTCTATAATCATGTTTTGTTTACTACTAGCAAAATATGCAACAAGGGATTTAACAATGGATTGACTCCATTGCCAAAAACTTACATCGTCAACTACAAATTAAGTAATGAAGGAACATCCACATCACAAATATGTCACTAAAGCTATTCATTAAGTTGCAGGTAATCTGTACATATCCAAACTGAATACAAATCAATAAACCAAAAGAGAATTTCAACTAGATTGGACTCTATTACAAGATGCAAGTTTTTTTATCATCTTAAACATCAAATAGAAATACAAGTTCTATGTAAGAAAGAAAGTTGTCAAGATTTTCTCTGAGAATATAGGTCAGTTTGTATTCAGTGGTCCTATTCATGAGCCCCTTCTCTCCTTAGTTCTTATCTTTGTGATGGATATTGGTATGAGAAAGGACTAACTAATATTCTCCATAAAGCAACAAGCTTTGAGAACGGGAAAACTCGCACCGTTTTATATTCATTTAAGAACTTTTGTGACATTTGATATCGATTTTGCCTATGAACTTTACTACGTCTAGAAGACACCTTTCGATGGACTGCTTGCCAAATCATGTCAACAGCATCACCAGGCTGTGATGGATACTGGTACTCAAAATGCGGTGCAATTTGCTTTAATCTTTCCCACATTTGGGTCCATTTTTCTCTTTGAACTCTTCTAAGAAGTTTCATAAGGTACCCTTTTCTAGCAGCATCTGATGCACGAACAAATATGGCGAATTTGGTATAATCAAGAACATCTTCAAAAGGCAACTCGATGTCATCACTGATTATAACGGGTGCACAATGACTAACAATGGCATCGAATAATCGGTTAGATGAAGGGGTGTCTCCTGCAATACTGAGGCAGAATTTGGAATGAGTCATCCCTATAGACGCCATGTGAATTTCATCTGGAGATGGCCTTCCGAATGTGAAGTGCACCTCTTTTTCATCTTTCAAAAGGTCGTATAGTATTTGACGAATCCTTCCACCCTATGTGAGTAAAACTCAAAGCATATCAATACAAAACGGCAAACACAACAAGATGACAATAGTAAGACCTAGCATGTTACGTACGAGGGCATTTATGTCTTTTGCACAGACCAGAGATAAAGAGCTAGTCTATGTTACACGTTGTTCCATCTTTTTCGGGTAGTGTTTCATTGACATCAGTGTGAGAGTGTCCATGAAAGTCCACTACACACCAAACATAGTATAACATGTTATGTCACGTCTTGTTATGTCAACGACATGGAAAATAAAAGCTTACATCTTTCCTATGAATTCCTCCTTGGAAAAACACCAATACAGGCCGCTTTTCAAAAGAAGGTGAATCGCTACCATTAAGTCGTCTAACCACATGTTTGTAAGGTGCAATAATATCTTTATCAATATTCGCAATCTGAGTTGGATACCTTCCAAAATCCGCAAGAAGCAACATAGCGGAACCCAATTGTGTTCTTGTAAAGAGCAAGCTATTCGGATGGTGAGCCATGACCAAATGATCTTTCCCTCCTGATCTCCTCCATTCCTTCCTATTCTTCAAAAATTCCACCAATCTCTCTTGCAAAACATAGTCCACGCTGTTTCTTTTATCCCCATGAATCTTGGGCTGACGATTATAACTCCAAGAACTGAAAAATGGCACGAAAATTACATCTGATTGAGTCGAGTTTTTTACAAGAATTGCAGTGCAAGGTCTAGACACATTTGGGGAAGCCGAAGAGAGAAGATCAAGAGTGAGCCAATACTCCATGCTGTGTTGTATGTTTATCGCACTTGGGTATGAAGGGATTTGACTTAAATTACTCACATTAGGCCAGATTTGATTTTGATCTCCTCTCCAACCTATTAATCCGAAGTGAAACTCGGGAGGTAAATCATACATAAAGACTTTGAGTAGAGCTTGAGTTTGATCACAAATGCTCGGTTTGATGGGGTTTGATTTGGGGCATGATTCGTTACAAGATGAAGCCACAATGGGGGCAGATTTGAGTTCAATTAGTACACTTGTTTCAACAGGTTTTACAATAATTAGCTTGTAAATTGATCTGGGTGCTAAAGAACTGTCACCAAACTGGAGTAGGAGTAATGAAGAAAGGATTAGGAGCAAGATTGAGATGGCAATTACGCCGGTAAGCGATCGAAAAATAAACGCACCCTTTTCAGGGATTGATGTCATTGCCATAAACATAAACGGTCGGAATTAGTGAACAAATACTTATTGACAAGAACAACTTAAACTTCAACTTCCTAATTTCTTACGATTGGAAGCAGAAACATGTTACGAGATCTTCAGATGCCATTATTCAAGAACAGAGAAAGAACCTCAAATAATAGAGGGGCATACATATTCAAATAAGTAAGGTAGTGCCGGCGTCGGAGTTTCCTTTCCGGCTAAAACTTTACTTCAAACACAGCTAGCTATTTAGGATTTGAACCAAAAGAACATGTTTTCTACCTCTTCTAGCGATTATTAACATCTGGAATTGTAGAAACCGACTTGCTTGCATCTCTTGCCTTAAATATTTCACTGCTCTAACGAGGATAGAACGCATACGGACTAAAAGGCTTCGGCGTCACTGGAACAATATTCAAGATAAACTATATCGAGTATTGACAACTGAAAACTGAAAAAAAAAAAAAAAAAAAGGAAATCGGAATGGGGAAGATAACGCATGTTTGGTACAGAGAAAGAGAAATGGAATGTTTGTATGATATTTTTTAAAGAAAAAAAACAGTTTCCCTTTCCACCTTAACACGTGGAAATGTTCCAAGTTCGAAACTTGCTCCCCAAACCGTATAGCCTTATGTGATACACATTTCTGGTTCAGGCGATTTTGGCATACCAATCTGATTAAGGTTAGTAAAACTAAACGATTAAGATTGTATTTTATTACTCATCGATTTTCGTAGCCAAAGAAGGATCAGGAAGTACTTTGTTTTTCAGAATCGATTGCACTTGAATTTTTTATCTACTGTTGCGATTTTTCACATGTCATCGTTTCTTTTGAATGCTTATATTGGTCCGATTCTAGAATCAAAATAAGAACATGAAGTATTTTTTTCCCATGCGTTACTGATGCGATTTTTTTTATCAAATACGTATTTTATGGAAAATTCAGGAATAAAGAAATTAGGAAAAAATTTGATTAGTATTTGATCTAAATAAGAACAAGAATTTTATTTACTCATTGATATTTTTATGAGTATTTGATCAAAATAAGAACACGAAGTATATTCACTTTTGGTGATTATTGAGAAATTAGGAAAATTTGTTTTGGAGCTTGAATCTAGTAATGAAATTGTGTTATATTTTATAAACATAAAAGTCATCTGGAATATGGATTCAGGTCTTGGAATTGTATAGTACATTGTTATTTTGTGAATATAACTAAGTTATGAGGTTGTAAATTCAATGGAAATTGGCGGTAGATTGGAAATCCATAAGCATTAGTGCATTACTATGAGTGCTTGGAATTTAATGTGGAATTTTATGTGCGTATACAATTTAAGTGTTGCATTGAAATTGGTAGTAGATTGAAAATCCATAGCCATTGGTTAAGCTTAGGTGTCTGTATTATTCGTGGCATGGTTTTATACTTATGCAACTGTTGTAGCTTTGGAACATATATCCAAATGTTTTTTGTTTGTGTATATATAGTTGACACACAATCACCTTTATATTAAAGGATCTTCTAAAATGGATAAGCTGCTATTACTTCTACCATAAGAGCAACTAATGCAATGGATGTAAAAGAAGTAAAATCAGTGATGTCGAAACCTATTATAAGGAAACAACAAAAGAGATGAAAGAGACTTACGAGAAGTTTTGTGATAAACTTACCAAAACGATAAACAAATATAGAAAGACTATAAAATAAGGAAGCATTTGGTATGATAGATTTTCATATTTTTTTTCATTTTTTGATCTATTTGTAAATTACTCTTTTATATTAGAATTATATTTTCAATGCAATAAATGTTTATAAGAAATGTTTGACAATTATAAAAAATACTTGGTAAAAACTAATTGTTAAATAAAAAATTATAAACATAAAAAAATGCATAATTTGACAAATTAAGATGTATCATAATGACATTATTATAAAAAATATATATATTGTTTGAAAAAGAAATAAACATAAAGAAAAAAAATTAATTTCTATTTCATTACTTAATACAAGAGAAATCTCCGGTAAAGTCTCAATATTTTATGACGGTTTACGGTTGGATTCCAACATTTATTTTTTAAACAGAAACTCATGATTATATAATTTTATATGATGATCTACCATTTTCTGTTGAAAAAAAAAAATAAGAACTGTTTTGTTAGTTTTGGCAAAATATAAAATAATCGGGACTTTTTCTATTCAAAATATAAAAGTTGGGATTAAACCGTATACTGACCCAAAATATTAGGACTTTATCGGAAATTTCCCCTTAATACAACCAAACAAGATAAATGATTGTTATTAACATTTTTCTGGTGATTTATCAGTTATCCCGAACAATGAAATCATTTCCTTTCTATGTTTACTTTCTTTATATTTTCATTCTTTGTTGCACTTTCATTTATATGAAACATGTTCAAAATGTTTCATGAGTTACTATAGTGAAAAATGGATATGATTAAAGAAATAATATAATCTTGAAGATTTTAGTGTAATTTACTCTAAAAAAAAGTAATGGTGGTTACATCATGCTTATCAGGTGCATAGAAACTGGAAAGACATTAGAAAACCACTCAAAAACAAATTTAGAAATGACTTTTTTTCTTATTGCTTATTATTTAATAATGGTCAGATTATATAAAATAAAGGAAAAATTACGTATATGTCCTTATTAAATATCAAAATATCGTATTTTTCCTAGTTAATTTTTAAATATCATATTTATCCTTATTAACCTTTCAAAATATTATATTTACCCAAATTCATTTTTTAAATTTTAATAATCATATTTTATATTTCAAAATCATTATAATTAAAAAAAAATTACTTAACCATAATGCTCCTGCCTCCTATATCATTCTTTTGTGCCAAATCCATGTCTACTTCTCTTTAATCCTCACATTACCCACTAAAGAGACTTCTTTTTTCATTATATACAACTTACAATCCATAAATGATTCATATTAGGGAGATTTTGATGGGTTTTTTTTTGGATTATGAGTGGTCAAAGCTCTCATGTAGTTCAGACTCGTATAAAACATGTTTGTCTAAATTGTTTTTCATGTGGAATGCTATTAATGTATAAATGTGGTTATGTATAAAAAAAAATGATTAAATCAATTTGTGTTTAGATTTTTCATGTTGGGCTTTACTATTTGTGGGTTCTTTGTATGATTTCAGTGACCTTTGTTACGACAGTTATGACAAGTAGTTGGGGTTAATATTGACCATTTTGGAGCGATCTTATGTAGTCGTATCGAAACACCCACATTGCTCATATATTTTTCTATTTAATTTTGTCGTTTCCATCTCTCCGAACTCACTTTCTTTCTGATCGATTATGGCGACTCTAACAGTTTCGCTGACACCAATTTCTACTGACTCCCCATGATGATGCTATTCATTTATATAAAGCTTTCTAAGGTACATCCTTTAATGACTCAAGTCAATTGCACATATTTTCTTTGCATCGTTGAATTGATTCGAATTGAATGATGACATGAATCAAAATATGATTTTGATGGAAACCTCTATTGTAGTTTTACTTTTGTTGACCTTAACAAGTATTTGGATGTGATATTGCGTCATTATTAGCATTCTTGCTCATCGAGATGCAACACAAAAGAGCACATATCAAACATGAATTTTGCTTGACCTATTCTGATGATATTCTTAACCGTTTGTCTTCTAAACTTAATAGTAAGTTAGAGCCTTAGAGATATAGAGCTCAGATTTGACTTTCGATTCTCAAATATGATAGTTATTAAATTTCGAACTTGATGAGAATAATCAAGTTATAGACATGGATGTGCATTACCCTTCGATCTTGTAGGCTGGAAAATTCTAAATAAAAAAGGCAAAAGTATCAAAGTGAATTCTGAATTTGGAATTTGGATTATATTAGGTTTGACTTTTAAAAATTATTTCACATATGGCAGTTTTGTTTTGGATGCATGATCCATCATGAAGAGATGCACCTAAGTTGTATGCATTGAAGAGAAAGATTGGTTAGTGAGTACTGTGATTACAGAGAAGCAGCCATGGATGTGTAGAATTTTGCACAAAAGAATAGAGATACTCAGATTCCATCCATATAAGAGCTAAAGGCATTATGGTCAAGTAATTTTTTTTATAATTATAACGATTTTAAAATATAAAAGATGATTGTTAAAAATTAAATATAATGAGTTTAGGCAAATATGATACTTTGAAAGGTAAATAAAGGAAAATATGTTATTTAAAAATTATTCTGGACAAATATGATAATTTGATAATTATTAACCAACTATCTAAAGTGTGTTAAAAATGTCATTAATGATTAAACTATGAAAAAATCATCAAAATATAACAAATTTTAACTTTTGTTTTTAAAATGCTATTATAACATGTAATAGTCTTTCTTCCGGTCATATTGATATTTTTTTTTAAAAAGTTATAATTTGTTATTTTTTCACGTCTTCTTCAATTCAATGGTATTTTAACATACTTTATATTGTTAGTTATCTTTTCATAACATTTTTAGTTCACAACTTGATAATTATATATTTTTTATTTTTAATACTTGTTTATGATAAAAAATACATGGAATTTATTACTTTGTAATATTAATAATTACATATCAATATAAATCTACTACTAAGGTCATTTATTTTCATGTAATTCCAAAAGAATACATTTTTATTTTAACTCGTTAGATCAAAAGAATAGACATTAGATAAATCAAATGTGCAAATGGATACGATGTGGAGATGAATTAGAGGTTTCAAGCAAAACCAAAATGAATGAAGCTATTTTAACCGGTTATATCAAACAAAGAGGTCTAGTTAAAAAATTTTAATTTCATACACTCTTTTTTTTTTTTTTAAAATAACTAAACATATCAAAATTAATAATTTGTGTACTCTATATTTAGAGATGATTATCTTTTCATGCAAAACAAAATTGTGTTGCAACTTCATAGTTCAATGATCATAATTTATATTATATTGTAAACGTTGTTATGTAATATTTTGTTTGAAAGATAGATTTATAAAGATGTGGGAATATTAAGATTACATAATTAATAAATTTAATGTTTTCAAGATAATAGACAAGTGCAAAAAAT